CTTGTAGGGGATAAATCTCAGTGATTCGTGGAGATCTGAGGGAGCTCGGTGTTCAGAACCGATGGGGTTCTTCACTTTTTGGGGCATGTGTTTAGCTTAATAAGGCCTGTTCATTTTTGAGTAGGGGGCCACAAAAACAACAAGGGTTGTTGCTATTATACCAAGGGTTGGACTTCAACAAATTCAGACTTGATGTGAGGATTCCAGCGAGGCTTCAATGGAAGTCAATCCTTGGCTTGGGGTGCTAGAGTCATGCTGGACAATGTAGGTTTCATAGTTACCCCACAATGCAATTCTAGCTACTTAGGCCCACTACCCAGTGATGCCATTTCCCACAGGTGTCCAAGGGAACCCCCCTTTAAAACCTCGAAAGGGACTGGGATCCTTTGGGGTTCCATCCGTGAGGTCTACCGGCCAGATGGCATTCCAGTGGAGTTTCTGGACAGACGCCCCCAGCCCAGCCGAGGGAAAGGTCGTAAAGGGCTAAGCAGATCGAGAGTCGTGGAGTCATACGACCATTTCTAGAGACGTCGTGGCAGTAAGATCGTGAGCAAACAAAACAGGCTACTCAATTCTCGTGTGTTGTCCGCATTGGCAAAGCCGTGTTGCGTCTTGGTTATGGCAGCGATTTGTCGTTTGACTTTGTGTAGACCGGTTCGAGGACGCGAAGAATCCTTATTTGTCTTACGCCAGTGAGAGTGGGATGCTCAGCCCTATCAACTCGGAAAAGCGGTGGCAGAGACCTAATGGTGTCGGGGTTTCTGTTGTTCGGAGGGGCTTCCACTTAAAATCCACTACCAAAGAGGTACCATTTTTCCGCCGCCACGGGATGCAGAATATCGATATGATTTGTGGCAAATCCTGTGCTTCGACTGGCCAGCTCTATTAAAGTTTTGTTGGTGTGAGCCGAAGACACGCAGGGTACAAGCTGGCCTTTACTTGCCAGCCAGGACCCAGCTGGCACCTGTTTCCATACCGCTTACCTTTGGGGACCTTTGCTTTAGTTCCGCGTTTCATCTCTCCCTGTTCGATCCCGGTACCCCGATTCTAAGCTATCCAGCCATGGTCCATTTAGGTTTTGATGACTTGTTGGCGCCGGATCAGCTGAGAGATAGCCGCCTCAGCTGTGAACAGCTCTGTGGCGGACCGCACGGCAATATCTGCGAGTGAACAGATCTCACGAAGACACGACCGGGGCAAAGAAGTCTTCTTGCGCATTGGGCGGTTTTTGTCGCGAAGACAATTTCTTGCACCAAGCAAACATGTTCATTGATGCAAGGAATCTAACAAGGAATCTCCACACAGTCCACCATGGGAGGATTCGGATCTCCACTACAATTGCTCCAATAGAGCCCTTTTTGAGGTCCCAAGATTCTCAGGGTGGCTGTGAACTCTCCAAGTTACGGAAGCACATGACAGCCACTGACGGCACATTGCTCTTCACCAATCAGGAGGCCACACGGCACGTTCAAGAAATGACCAAGATGGCTGAGAGCAAAACTGGGTGCTGAATAAGCCGTAGTAGTATCTGTGTTGTTCTCCAAAGGAAGCCCAAAGGTGCGCGTTTTCTTCCAACCACCCTGTTGAAGACTCGGCAAAACTGAGCGTTCAACCGGCGTGAGTGCGCATCTCCAACACTTCATGACACCTGCTGCCGCCTTTGCGCCATGGACGATGGCGAGGCAGACGAGGCAACCAGAAGCCGAGATTTTGTTGGCGCTGTGTTCAACTCGCTGGAACCATGGTGACAATTGGTGGCAATTAGATAGAATCATGTTGCAGAGATTTTGTTGGCGCACAGTTTGTTTGGCGCTTTGTTGGTGCTAGAATCTGCTGACAATTTGCTTACCCCAGCAACCAGGCTTAGCTACTTACCAAAGCGGTGTGTTTCAAAATATTTTCTGGACGACATGACCACAGACCTGTGCGTGAGGATCTGTTTAACCATGCTTCTAGACAGGCTTACTCCAGTTGTAACGTTGTAACCAGGTTATAATCTAGTCATCATTTGACTCAGTAGGTACGTGTCAACATAGGGGGCTTGTCTTTCAATTTCCCTCGTTTTCCAACCTGAACACCTCTCGCGTTCGCATCGAGTCATGTTTCGGAGCGCATCCTAAAGCCACTCAGAGAGCAGGCCAAGGCTCTGTACCTCAGACGCAACCGTCAAAATATGGCTGCGGGTCAAAACCAATGGTACCAATTTGGGGTAGGTGCACCACCCATTTTAGTCTACCAATAGCGGGGATTGGGATGTTCACTGGGGGTACGGGATTTTGACCCATGGCCATGTTAGCATCGAAGATAGACAGATTGAGTTCACTAGAAAGAACCACCTCACATTTGGTCTTATTGATAGTGAAGAAGGCGTTCCATTTGAGACGACAACCAAAAGGAAATGGCGCACTCGGTTTCATCAGTGGTTTCAATCAGTGGAATTGACTTTCCAGTTTCGCATGCCGGGAGGTCCATCCCAGGAAGGCCTTCCGGCGCCTTGCATGCTTGATGTTCATCGGATTCGTCGGATTCTCGGCACCTTTCTGGGATCAGAGGGCAACCAGGAACTCAAGCGGCACTGCTTCAATCAGGAAATGTCTGAGCAGCTTGGTAGCCTTAGCAATACTAGAATCTGTGACGCGTCCGTCCCAAATTCCAAAGCAGAGGGGCTTAGGAAGATCAGCTCCAGGAAGAAGGACCCCTCTGGTTTTGGCCCGTACACGTCGCCGTTCCATCAAACCAGGAGGGGGGCGTACCATGTATATATATATACACGTATTATATAACAATACAATACATATTTATTAGTCGATTTAATCTTTATCCCTTAACAGGCGTCTGCACAATGGTTCCTAAAGGACCATGGCACCTGTAGGTCCAGGAACTTCGGAAGTTGGCAAACCCTGGGACACTATGGTGAATCAGGCAAATCGGGAACACCAAACATGTTGCGAAGACAATCTCGAGCTTCAAATGATCCAAACGGCTCCATCGTGATGACGGACCAGAAAACCGCATGCAGGCGAGACTTGCAATCTGGACCAGGTCTGGCAAATAGCTAGCCTGGGGCGCAGGGCCATGGTGGCTGCATTTGTTGGTGATCCTGGCACGCGTTGAGCCCATCAAGCAGTTCCAGCTGCAACCTACGTTGTTGAGCACTCTGGTGGTGTGAGGTGCGTCTACAACGAGAATGGCGCAGCAGGAGCAACCGAACGATTCTTATCACACCACGCTTTGGTCAGTGGTCGCATGTGGCGAGCAACCAGTGTGTGAAGCAGCTACTTTGTGGAAAGTCTAAGGGCTGACTTCACACGCGCTTCAATCTCATTTGTCACTTTGCGCGCAAGTATTAAATTTGACCGTGGACGCAAGTGCTTGAGCGTTTTTGCCCCCTAAGGATGCGTAAAACAAGCCAACCTCGAAACAGATTGAGGACGCCCTCAAATCAGTTGACACTTCGGCTTCGAAGATCTGCTTGGAAACAGTGGACGACGATACAGTTGATTTGGTACCGAGGTGTGTGGTGAACTTCTTTGATTCATCCGGACGCCTGCCCTGAATTTCAATCAGCGGTTCGCATGCTCCCTTCTGCGTGCAGATGACGCCGCATGGCGTCTAGGGTGAAAACGTGCATCCTATGCAACTGGCATTGCCAGTGTGGCTGAGTGGATACGGTCAATTCGGTCCGCGGTGCTCCGGCACCTAGGAATCAATGCAGCTATTTGTAGCAAACAGTTGGCTCGCACACTTGCGTTACCATTTCATTTCTCTGCGACCATCGTCACAGGAAGCTTCGAACATAGGTGAAAACAAAGATGACCATGGCTCACATGCTGAGTTCTTGCTACCCAAGCAGTTCGACTGCTTGGCCAATGGGACGAGGGGTTCTGCCGGGTTCTGTTGGCTTCCTGGGGCTTCCCTTTTGCAATGCCTTCGCAGGTGTGCCGCGAAGGCAGGGGATCGCGGAGGGGGAGCGGATTTCTAGGCAGACGTCCTGCTGAAGAATTTCCCAAACGAGAAACTACGATATTTGGAAGTAAGCTGCACGGGAGGAGGAGGGAGCTGCAGGAAATCATCAGGTGTGTCTCAACATTGCCGAGGGGCAAGTCAGAGCGTAAGTGGACAAGGGCATGTTCATTTTTGCGGCTAGCAGCTTGCATCTTTGTGGCTGTTTCGGACTGAATCCATGCAAGCCGTCCTCAACATTGAGAACAGGGGGCCCCAATAGAAACCATCAAAGCCCCAAGCGTCCCCCAATGCGCCAACACATCCATCATCAAGAGGGGATCTCTGGCAGGCGACGGCTACGATGCTACAGCTACCACAGGAGCCTAAGTCACCAGCTGCCTGGCCTTGCTCTGCAAATTGCAAGTCGCCAAGCATACGCCCAGAGTCCCAAAGTGCAATCGTTTTCTTTCAGGACGCACATGGACTGTGTCCACATGGATAGTCAAGTCTTGCTGCCAACCTCCACATCCTGGCCCTTCCACCACACCATGTTCAGGAGGTTGCCACCAATCCAACCAGAAATCGGCATGACAGGAGTGTTCTGCTTAATGAAGTGTTTCTTCCAACCTTGGTTTCCCGCTAACCCCCCCCAACAAAGACACGGCCATATCTTGCAACCCCTGGACTCATTTGCAGGAGCCGTGGTCCTGCAGGACCGGAAATGCCAGCGCTCGATTTTCTTGTTATCCACTCCTTGCGGAGTCCTTACATCTGCGTTGTGTTTTGTGAGCCCCCCGTTTTTGTGTGGTGTCAGGGGGAAACCAAAAGGAAAAGCCGAAGTCATTACGGTTCGGGATTCTTAAACGTTTAATCCTCATACAATGAACCAACTCGCTTCCCACGTTTCTTGAAGTGTTCCTTTTTGAATTTGGGCCAGATTAGTCTAAGCAACTCCGGAAGCAAGTTGCAGAGGCCTTTGCAACTTCGGTTTTTGTTTGAGCCCCCATGGTACGAGCCATACTCATTTGGCCCCTCTTCTCTTCCCCAGAGTTAGC